GGAGTTCAGACACGCATCTGCAAGAGAGCTGCTCACAGCATTTAGCCTTTATTTCTCCTTTATTACTGAGAGCTCTCTCTGCCCCCTTTTGAAGGGCAGAGAGGAGTTATTAGCCCTGTTCCACAGATGGGGAAGCAGCACTGGGTCACTTGCCCCAGCTGAAGTCCCTTGCCTTCAGCCACTTTTTGCAGAGTGATGCTCAAATTAATACCCTGCAGGGGACACAGGCATCCCTCACAGGAAACTCAGCTGGGGCTGCACTCTGGCCTGCTGCCAACACATAATGGTCTCCCATTTCACTCCCAGTGCCCTCAGGTCTGCACCTGAATTACAGGGAATATAATCCAGCTCACTTCTTTTGAACTTGGGCTGCCCCGTGGCCCCCGCAAGAACGGCAGCAACAGAGCAGGCAGTGAAATCATGTCTGTTCAAGGAAACGGAACAGGTGTAATTTGGATTCCATACACAAATCCCAAATGATTTGTGGGCTTAACATGAAAACTGCCAAAATGCTTAATTGTGTCATTGAATTGAGATCAGGGAGAAGATAAACTGGCTCCACTGAGCCAGTGAGACTTTCACTGCTGGCTTCACTGGGTCAGTGTTTGACTCCAAATAAAAAGAGAAGCTTCTTCTGTAAATCAGATGATCCTTTACAGGATCTGATCTAATACTGAAAGAATTTGGAAAGACAAACAGAAATTCAGCTCCTGGTGAACTTGTAGCTTCAAATGACAATAAAGAAAGGAGTGGCACAGGAAACTGAAACCCCATTGCACAACTGGTCTTTAAGAAAATTAAAATAGTGTGGAGTACATGCTCCCAGGAGAGAAGCACCAGTAAGTGCCATCCCCAAGTGGTTGCCTTGTAAGCACTGGGCACTTCTGCTCAGAAATTATCAGGTTCATAAAAGTCACAGATGATTCCACCACATACCAGGTTCCTTTTTCCCCCCCTCCAATTATATAAGTTACTAATGTTTGGGATTACACCAGCTGGAAAAAATGCATTAGCACAAACGATTAAAAACATGGTCTCTGCTTTGCTACAGCATGAAGAAAACTTTACCATGATGTGTTAATTTCTTGAAAAATACAAGTGGGCTTTTTCCTGGGTGATGGCTTTCTTGCAGATTTTTAAGATAGATGGTGAAGCAAATGCCATCCTGTATACAGCAGTGATCTCATCTCCCAGTATTGTCAATTAGGGTTGCAACATCAACTCCTGATATAGTGAGCAGCTGGCCAAAAAACCTGACAGCAACCTGTAATTGCCTGTGCTGGGAAAGAGTAACTGTGCACCCTGCAACCCATTCACTGCAATATCCACCAGGAACAAGTGGCCATAAAAATGGGGCAGGTACCACTGGATTGCCTGTTGCTTTCAGCAAATTGGAAATAACCCACAGAGTGATGTTTTGGGTGATTTGTTGGTTCATTTGAGGCTCTGAAACCAGCTAAAGTTGTCCAGTTATGGCACAAGAGCTCAGCCAGGAGCCACAGCTACCAGGGAGCAGTGAAAGATGAGCAAACACAGAAATTGCTCTGGTAGGAGAGGTCTGGTCCCATGAGGTGAGGGCAAGCCCAGCTCTGTGGGAATGTCAGTAGAGCAGGCAGCTCCTGGACAGCCCAAGAGTTTGCATTGCTGCTCCTGTTCCTGCACACTAAAGGGCCACAAAGGGGAAGAGCTGCTGCTGCTGCCTGACATCAAATTGCTCAGGACTCAGAACAACTGCCTGCCCTCAGTCATTCTGCAGTTCCAAACAATTATACTGTCTGTGGGGTTCTGAGCAGCATTTGTATTGACATTTTGAAGAGGGAAAAAAACTGTAATTTAAGTCTTTCACTGACTCAGCTTTTTAAGTGATGCCACGCTGGAAAACTGGTCTAGAGAGTGGTATCCTGTTCATCACTCCCTAGGTATTCTACACCTTTTGACCTCCTGAAAACAAGTTTTCCCACCTTACACACAAGAAAAAACAAACAAGCCAAATTAAAAGTTAAAAGACAATAAATTGTTTTCCAACTGAGTTTTTCAACCTAAAGTAATACTATTATTAAAAATACCTAATTTAAACGAGTAATTCCTAATTTAAATGAGTACGTTTGTAACCTTCAAATGAAAAATAAACACAAGAAATATTTTCTCCAAATATTTCTGTTTAGCTGAACACAATTAAAGAAAACATCCAAGCATTCTGACGTGGTTTGTATGCTTCTCCCCTGAGGCAGGGCTGCAGACAGAAGAGGAATTGTTCCAAATACCCATCAATCCCCAGAAGGCAAGGCCCAGCCACATAATTAGACACTGAGCAAAAGGCTTATTTATTTCTTCTTTCTATTTATAATATCTTTTACATAAATCCTTGGGTCCTTACTTAACTTTTATTGAAAAGAAAATGCTTGACATTTTCCCCAGGTACCTACTGAGCACCACTGAATCAGGACTTCAGGCTGTGACACACATACTCCACTGTCCCATCCGTAAAAATGCAAGTGCCACATCCATAAATATTAATAAAAGGCTATTGCTTGAAACAGAGAGAGCAAAGTGCCTTCCAGAATAAGCCCAAAAACATAGATCACCAAATCCTCTGAATCTCTTTGAGGACTTTTGTCTAAATAAAACTGCATGGCAACCTCTGACTTGCTGAGTTTTAGAGACTGAAGGGCAAAGGAAAACCCCTTTTCAAGATGTAACTTGAGAAAACTGCTACAGGCTGTTCTAAATAAAGAACACGAGCACTTCCTTAGCCATCCTTACTAAATTGCCATCCTCCTGAGGGAAAAAGCAAAACAAAATCACATTGTTTTTGTGTTGCCATAGTCATGAATGTTAGCAGAAGTCCCCCTCACCATCCCTGCAATTTTGGACCTGGAGGATGCCAGAGATGCTCAGCTCTGTCCAGATCATTTGGCAAGGAAGTCCCCACCTTTGCCATGCACTCCCAGGGTCTGCCTTCCCTTTTCATGCCAGCTACCTGCCAGCCTGGGCTGGGAGCAAAACCAAATGTTGCAAAGCAGGACAGGAGTGATCTAAGCCAAATATGAGATCCAGGGACTCTGACACAGACTTAATCCTTCTGCCTCGGTTGTTCTAATTGAAAAAAAAAGAAAAAGTAGCAACTATCAATCACCTACTTTGTAGGTCATATATTTGCAAAGCCCTCAGGGAGATGAAAAGCATTATACAAACTATATGCACACATGTTAACGCTGATTAATTTTCTCTGTGCAAACATACCCTTTTTTCTTCTTCATTGCCCCTCCTCTCATTATATCAGCAGCCTCATCTGGGGGAGGACGAGGAACTGCTGACAGCTGAAGTATTTTCCGCAGTTGTTCTTTTGAGATTCAGAAATGCAACCACTCAACACAGCCCTGTGTTCAGCTGACTGTTTCCTTAATAGCTTTGCTCTTTCATGTGTTTCCTCATTTTCTGTTACATGAATTTAAAGCAATCTGATTTCCAAGTTAATTTGAAATGATGCAGGATCCATTAGTTGAGGGTATCATTTGCAAAATAACTCTGAGAGACAACTTTCACTCACTACACTTTCAGGTGTGCCCTCAGCTAACAAAGGCAGGGCTAGTGATGTGAACAAAGTCAGCAGAATTCAACCTAAAAAGCATGTCTGTGTACAGAGGCACAGGGATACAGCCCAACTGCATAAGAGCCTTATAACACTTGCAATAGCTCCTCCACAGCCTGAGGTTTACACCAATGAGCAGCTTTTTTGGGACAGTGCTTACACCAATGACAATCAGAATATATACAGCTTTTCAAAAGACTATCTGTAAGCAGTTTTCTTAGGATGTTTGGCTGCACAATTCATGAGGAATAAAATTTAAATGTTTTGTGGAATAAAACTTCTGTTTCAGTTGTCACAAAGTAAGCCAGGGTGAAACTGAGGACTTCTGTTTTGGCACCAGCTCTGCAATGGCAGTTCCCATGTGATATAACAGAGGCTGCTCCCCTGCACCAAGGGTAGAATTGGGATTTCTAACTTGTAGCATCCAAGACAAAACATTTACTTATGGAATAAACTACACTGGCACAAGTTTCCCAGAGCTGCTGTGGAATCTCCCTCTTTGGACTCAAAGCTGTTTGTACCTGGTCCCAGACAACTGGCTCTGCTTGCACAGGGAATTGGGACCAGATAACCTCCCAAGGTCCTTTCCAGCCTCAACCAGCCTGTGTTTCTGTCAAATGGGCAATGGTTTGGTGCATCTTGGATGGATGGCCTCTGAGTGTCACTGCAGCCTCTGGTGTGGACACTGTGGAGATGTCACAAGCGACACCTCAAAGCTGTCCCTGCATAAACACAACCAGAAGAACCCAGACAGCTGAAGTGGCAATTGCTAGAGGCTGGAAGCTGAGGGGAAATTCAGAGCACTGGCTGAGGGATGGAGAAGTGGCTGGATTTTCCTCCTCCTGTCCACCAAGTGCAAATCTCCACGCTCAGATGTGTCTGCAATCAGTAGCTTACAGGCAGGAGCCCCTGTGCATATACCACAACTGAATCCAGGAGCCTTCTGAGACAGCAGAATTCTCCCTTGTATTTACTGACCACCTAATGGAGTGGGAAAGCTGAACAAGAACCCAATAAAAACATGACAGGCTAATGTTCCAGCTGCTGTCTTTAAGATAAAATCATTAAGGAATTTAATTTGATAATGCTACCAAGAGTCTTGGAGGACAACCCTCAAGAAACAACACCTCATCTCTGTATTGAGCTGTGTCAAGCACACACACACAAAAAAAACCTGTGTTTAAAAAGAAAAGCAAGGATTCTGAGTAGCTTTGCTCCTGCCAAGCAATCTGCTCTCAGCTGACTATAAAATCTCTCATGCTGTAACACCAAAACTCCCAGGCAGAGAACACACTGACTGGCAATATAATGTTTGAAGTACTTAAAAGGGAAGAAGCAATCATGCCTGCTTTCAGAAAATGAGATGGTGGTCTCATTAGCAAAAAAAAAATTCAATTGCAATAGTTACCTCGGCATGTAAAGGACTCGCTCTGCCACCACAAATCCCACCCTGAAGAAGAGGTTGCTGGCTGGGATGAATGGGAAAACCAGGAACAACAAGCCAACCAAAACTTCTTTGTGTTCCAGTTTCTGCAATAATACAAAATTAAACAATATCAACTAAAAAAATCCAACTTGATTCACCTCTAACTTCTTTGAGGGTCATAAAAAAAGCAACTTAGATGAACACTTGGCATGTTTTGCATTTGAAAGAAATTTTTACGAGACACTAAGTTTATATATTTATGCACTCCTGGTGCATCTAATATGCTCAGAAAGTGCACAAACACTACCCACTGTGTCTATTATTACCCTTGGTATCTTTCCCAAGGTCAGCTCTACTATATGCATGGCACAGCTATCACCTAAGATATAACTCATATTGGTAATATGTAAGTACAGAGTTGTGTGAATGTATACATTAGCATGTCTACGACAGTGTGACTCTATGTAAATACACAAATGCATATCACATGCATACACAGAGACTGCTGTGTTCAATCCTAAATGTTTACAACAGAGAAAAGGCTGTTCAATCAGTCACATTTTGTGTAAAGAAAACTGGCCCTAAGTGACACGTTAATGCAGTCATTTTATCTCTTTCAAGGAAAATATCTACACTTGAAATGATACTTTTGCACACAAGGTCTCCACAGTCATACAGAGTCAGAAATCTGAGACATGTTGCATGCTAAAATTAATGTTTTTCACTTGAGCTCAGTTAATGCCCTCCACTTGTACTCACTTTAATGTTAGCTGACTCTTTGAGGAGGAATGGGATTACCACATGCAATTCCAACCAAGTGTGATCCGTGGGGCCAGACTGGGGATGCCGTGGCCGCTGTCCTGCCATGGAGAGACCCAAGCCCCCTGAGCAAGCTGAGCTTCAGGCTTAGCTCCACCCCAAGAGGGTAAATCAGCTCTTGCTTCTCAAAGAGTGGCACCAGGATAGAAGTGTAGCTTCAGGCCTGTTCAATCACCCAGGCAGACATCTGTGCTCTCCTGGCTCAGACGCTGTTTCTCACTGTCTGCAGATATCCCGAGAAGCTTTGTCATGCCCAGAAACAGATGCAACAACAATCACCTAATGGTTGCAGCACTCTGTAATTGTAGTGGACAATTTCTCAGTTTTGGAGAGCAAATTGACTTCTCTTTGCCAGAGGGAGCTACATTTAGAAACGTTCAACAAGATTTTTGAGTAGAGAAATGGAGTCCCATCAATGATGAGGGGCCAAGCAGTACAAACTGTCCTGCTTTTGCACAGACTGCAACTTGCCACTGGCCTAGAGAGTGGCTGAAATTCAGGAGTTCTACTACTGAAATATATTTATCCTACTCTATGGGAAAGACAACAGGTCTTTTCTCTGGGTACCAAAAGCAAGGGGACAAGTCAGGAGGCTTTGATGTCCTTTTGGAGGAGCTAAACCACAGGATCACAAAAATGTGCACGGATCTCCCCTGGCTCAAAGATGAATCATGAGGCAGAGAGAGGAGCAGAATTCACATCTCCAGACTTCTTTATCAATCTGTGTTTTAAATAGCACCACAGTTATCTATAGTACTCCAATTACCCACTTTTTCAGTATCCTGGATTCACAGTTACTAGTGCCTACATGCAGTCACAACAGCATCTAAAGTACATTATTTTCAGAGCTGAAGGAGACATCACTCCATATTGATGATGAGCAGAGGTGCCTGGTAATTACAGCAGAAAATTGAATTTGGATGGAAAAAAGGGATTAAAAATTTCTTCTCAACTCTGAATCAAAATTACCAATTCTTGCTCAACTTCAATTTCCCTCCCCATCTAGATCTGGAAATATATTCTATTTTTCTCCTGAAATGTGGCTCCCCCTTCCCACTTTGCCCAGCCTGATCATGGTGCCCATCTTCTGCTACCACTCTACCCCAGGGGTTTGACACTAAGGACCAGGAGGCACAACAAGGTATGTTGGGCCAAATGCAACGTTCTCAGCCCCCAAATACACATTTGCTTTCAAACAAACCAGCTATCAAATATTTCTCCAGTTGTTGATCATTAAATCAATAACTGGGAAAACAATCTCTAGTTAAACATCTCTAGGAAGGACATGGTGTTATTCAAGGCTGCAGCACTGCAGATAAGCAAAGGAAACTGAATGCTAGAGAAAGACAAATAAAACTTGTTCATCAAATGACAAAGAGGGAAATGTGGGAATTAGCTCAGCTGAAGGATCAAATGGCTCTGCATGCCCTTTTTCTCCCCAGAACAAGTCACAGCTCCATGCTAATGCCATTGAGGGCTGCCAGCTCAGTCCCTTGGGCAGGGCTCGGAACCCAGCACACACAAACCAGCCCCATGGAGCAGCAGATCCCTCCATGGTGCTCCTTATTTCTGCAACAAAAACCACCTGGCAGTGCCCTTTTTAAATCTTTCCATTAAGGCAGAGGCCTTTGGGAAGAGCTGGTCCTCAAAGCCAGGCTTCAGCTGGTTCTGTGCTATGTGTGGTGGTGCCCGTGAGCCACTCATGGGGCTGCAGGAGCAGAGGGCAGCAGCACCTCCCATGCAACACAAGCCATGGGAAATCCCCTCCATGTGTTTTTCTAAATAAAACAAATCCAACCTATACATAACCTGTTGCATTTTCCTGGCAAAGAAATAAAAGAAATATTAGGACCATTTCTTTGGTTTAGCCCCTTTAGTCATATGATCCCACTTGAGATAGCTGAGGTAAAGGTGTCAGAATCAGCATCTTCCAGGTGCCCAGAGCAGTAGTAAAAGCTTTTAAAGAGTAATAGGCAATTGTGTTTGTCTTCCTTTCTGCTTAAAATAAAATAGCTAGGGCTAGAAATTATAGATCACTGCATTCAGAGACAATTCCTTTCCTCTTAAAGACAGTGTTTTCTTTTGGAAATACAAAGCTTGTCTTTCTGTCACTGTAGTCTCTGGTGGGGGGGAATCACCAAACACATTTTAATTAACTTCAGAATGATTTCTCTTGTCAAAGACAAACCAACTTCAAATCAAAATAGCATTTGTTATAGTAAATAGCTTGGTGGGAGGGAGGAGTTTTGAAAATCATATCTAACTCATCACAATTAGGCCTTCATTATACTGTAACAAAAAAACCCCCACCAATAAAACAACACACCAAACCAAAAACTGATTTAAAAAAAGAGCTTTCTAACTTTTATTTCACAGACTTATCAAACAACTAAAGAAAACTATTTCTCCCAAGGGCAATGCAAAAAAAGTGTCCCACTGTCTCAAACAGAATATCAAAGAATCACTCCAAGGTCAAACATGATCAATACAGCAATAAATCTCAAAAACTGCTTCCTTAGCAATGTGGGGGAAAAGGAAGAAACTCTAGAATTTATAACTGAAGAGATCTTTCCATTTTATATCCCATATTCCACTAAAGCACAAGTCTTGTACAAGGCAGAGCCCTCTAAGTGTGAGTGCAGGAGGAGCACAGATCACCTCAGCATTACTGCCATAACTGTGGCCTTGCACCAGTGAATTCCTTACTCTTGCCCTGGAGGAGGCATGGTCAGAGGTGCCAGATCCATGAAGTCTGCACTGTGCTGACAGCACTGATGTTCACCTTGCCTGGCACCTCCAAGGGCTGAGGCACCGGAAAGCAGAGCTGTGAGCCCAGCATTTCTCCTGGCTGGACTGAGCTGCACCTCAGGGAAGACAACAGCTGGGCAAACAAATGCAAGCAAATTCCATTCTGTTCTACCTCAGAATGTTTCTGAAGGTGTTTATACATGCTTGCCTGTTTGATGGAAAGGCAATCAAATTGGTTTAATTCCTTTCTCTGTTTTATTTGAGAATGAGACAAGTGTCACCTCTCCACCATTTAGATCCAACAGCCCCATGGAGTAAAGATCTCCTTCCTACCAAAGGCATCAATCCCTGTGACAGAGAGCTCTGGATGGCCCGGTGCAGTGAGATGTTCTGCTTGGAACACCTGACTGCATGTGCAGAAAGCTGCATCCAGCAAAGCTGGTAGTGCACAGCTGTACCAAAGCAATGATTGCTATTACACATTTTCAAACCCTTCCAGGCCTGAGAGGTAAGTGCATTATCCATCAAAAGAGACACAGAGGCCCAGAGAAGCTGCATGACTCTCTGCAGACCACAGACAGAGGATGGCACTTCTTCAGTTTATTCCTAACATCCATTTGTACAATCCCTTAGTGCAGACTGCACACAACCCTGCTTCATCTATTGCTGCTGTGTCACTCTCTCCAGTGGCTCAGCAATGTGACTCCTCAGCAGCCTGCACCAAACCACTGTGAGCACCTCACCTGGCAAGAGGTCAGCATCTGCAAACACCCACTCCTGCACTTTCCACATACACAGCATTAAAGATAAAAGGGATGGTGTAGAAGCATGTCAAACTCACTCTCCATTCATGCATAAGGTGATAAAAAGAAAGCATTAAGCTAATCAGGAATTAACCCTAGGGATTGATTCCTTCAAAGGGAAAAAAATAAATCTCTGTGGTTGTAAAGCTGACAGGATCTGTGGGTGTTTGCAGGTCTCACCTGGCTGGTGCACACACAGATGGGCCATGGCAGAGCTGTACCACACTCCATGCACCATCAGCATGCTCTCCTTCAGGACACAGCAGAAACCTGGATGGGACACACATACCTTGATCTACTGTGAACAAACAGCAGGGCACTGTGGTTATTTCACTCTGCTGCCTGTGCCACTGCCTCCAAGTGAATGATGCCAAAAGTCAGGTGTCAACAGATGGCCTGAAAAACTCAAGCATTTGGTAAGCAAAAGGCAACTTACCAGCTTCAAAACTGCCTCAGCCTGTCTTAATCAGCTTGCTCCTAGAAAAAGAGCCACAAATTCTGTAATCACTACACTTTATTAGGAGTTTTATTTTCTCACCTCATTAAAATAACAAAAAAAAAATTAAAAATCAGCATCTTGAGTAGCACCAGCTACTTGAATGCCAGGCTTAGTAACTTGCTCATTTCCTAAAATAACTAAATTTTTCTTGGTGATCATCTAGTTTTGATAGAAATAGCCAAAGATTTCTAATGCTATTTTGATAATCACTGCTGACTGTGTATTAACTACCTGA